TGTAGAACAACCAGAACCACACCAGGAGACTTGACAGAGGCATCTGAGCAACATGCTGAACTATTCCTGTACTGTCCTAAAGGCATTTTTCCCTCTGTTAAGTAACCGTTGTTACTTAGGTATATATAAACTACTCTGCTCAAATTGAAGCTTAATAGAAAATTCTCAGGATAGCATTTTGTAAATAAAGAATTAAATAATTATGAATATTGTGAATAAGTGATTTCCATTGTACAGTAGTCATTTTAAATTAAATTAAGTATTTCTAACAAGTAATCTCTTCAGAGGTGTATAATGTTAAGAGTCCAGCTGCTTTGTCCTTGTTTAGCTGTACAGGGAATCTCTTTGCATGCCAAAAGTGGTGTTTGCTGCTTTATGAATAGAATGTGAAAACAAATGGAAAGAGTTAATAAAAGTCTACTGAAAACGAAGGCGATGTCACTGTTAGCATGGTACTACAGAAGCAGTTGGAGTGAAGAGGAATTCCCTACCACAGACCAATGCTGTTATTGACCTCATGGGTCATCTCTCAGTTACCAAAGCTGTAGAAAGTGGAAGTTGTCCTACCCCTAGAGTGGTAGAGAAGGGGAAGTGGAAATGGAGATGAACTTCCATCACTCTTCAAAGCTGATAGCATGAGGTAGTGTTTTACTGAAGCTGTGTATATGGGATTTTTTGTAAGTCAAAGCCATGTGATGCTTCAGCACCACCTGACCCTTTGCTTTGAAGATGCATGGCTGCAGAATTATGGCTTTTTACTGTCTCAAAATGAATGCAGTTTATTAGGCTTCCGATTTTAACGCTGGCTTTGGGGAAGCTGAATGAGACAAAAAAGTTCACTTCTCAATTCTTTCTTACTGTGGAGAGCACATGAGATTTATCAACAAAATGGCCACATCAGCTGTGGCACATTTCTGTAAGCACAGACCAACAGGTAGTACAGATAATTAAAACTGCAAGGCAAGGTAGAATTTCTTTCTTGTTTTATAAAAAGCACAGAAGCAAGTATATGAAATACACTTAATAATAAAAGTGGTCAAGAACATGCTGCCATAGTAAACATTTTAAAAAACCCTAAACATACAATTTTAAACCTGAGTTGTGTCCACAGCCCTCATCAGAGTGGTGGTTAGACTTCACCAAAAAGCGGAACTAAAAGATACAAGAAGCGTTCAAGCTGCAGCATTAATGATGTTATGCCTATAAAAGCATTTGGTGTGTCACCTTGTTCACCTCTTCAGGTGAGGTTACTGTTTGCTGCTGGCTGTTTAGGCAGTTAAGCTGCAAACTGAAAACCACATAATTACTCTCAGTGCAGCCATTGGGTAAGGGACCCTTTCAGAGGACGAAGGAAACTATTTCTAGACAAGCCACCACTTGCAGGATCAGGCAGCTCAGCTGCTGTTCCCCGTTCTCTGCACACACACACACCAGTTTCAGCCTTTAATAGAAATGCACCCACCACACCCCATAATTAGAAGTTACCAAAAAAACCTCCAGCCCACTTTTTTTTTTTTGTAATTGCTTAGGTCAAGTCTGCCAAGTGAGCTTTGTCTTTTGCAGCTCATTTCTCCCATTCCTCCCCTTAGTTCCACACAGGCTTCTTTCAGCTGCAGAACTCTTTGGTGGCTCATTCCTGCCTTTTCCTTATTCTCCCTTCTACTGCCACATTAGTCCTCAAAGGGCTTTAGAGAAACCTTTGCACTTGAGCTATTCCAACGACAAACTCTGACAACAGACATTTTTGAGCACCCTCCATGTTAAATTGTTTTAACTGCTATTTAGTTAATTCAGCTGTGGTATCATTTTTAGCCAATGAGTTGTTTTCTAAAGGCTCTAAGTCCCTGTTCCACGCCAAAAGAAAAAGCAATGCAGTTTCAACAATTAAGGGCTTATGATGTTCCAAGTTCCTGCTGCTAATCTAGAATGTAGCCAGACTAACTTCACATTGCTGTCTCTTTAGGAAAAACAAAGACAAAAATATTTAAAATCTCACTTGGGATTATGCAAGCTCAAAAGTAATTTCACAGTTTGTACAGCCCCACTCCAAATGCAAGTGTGCTTTCCACTTTGCTAACACTCAATTACAGATCACTTCAGCTTGATTCCCTTCATCCTGGTATCACTAGTGCATATTATTGCGAAAAGTCCAAACAACAAAACCAGCTTATGTATTTCTAAGACAACAGAACAATCAGAGGTATCAGGTATGAGTTTCACCACACTTGCCTCACTGGACTCCCTATACTTGTAAAGCAAGGGAGGTTGGTCTGGTTTAAGCAGATTGATTTCGTAGCAGGAACACAAGCCGTACCCAGCGACCGGATTGGAGGCTCTATGAAGACGACCAAACCTAGAGCACTAAAATCAGACAGCCATTGACTCAGCCTCCGTTTAGCACTGTGGCTGTAAGTGAAAGCACTGCACACCTCCCTGCCACAGTCAAGCAGCCTGTGTCGCCTCCTCGTCTTACCTCTCAAGATTAAGTTAATTAAAAACAACGCAAAAAATAGGTTAGACTAAAAAGAGGAACACATTTATGTAACAGAAAGGTAAACAAGTTACTTCCCGACTGTGTTAAGTAAGGCAGATCTCCACAGACACACCAGTCTGCAGAGAAAATTAACAGCCTGCAACTCTGTTTAAACCACAGGACGCAGCATTTGCTCCTAGAGGCTGCCCAGGAAAAGGCAGACTCACTTCACAAGGATTCCAGGCCCAGATGATGCTGAACAATCCCCATCACATTTAACTGCTACATAAACCTCCCTCTGGAGGTTGAGCCTTGAAAGCCGCCAAGGCCAAGCCCCAGAACTTCACCTTACCAGAACACAGACAGGCATATCCATATTTACAGCATTGTTACTACCCACAGTGTCTCTTCCCTAGGCTGGTAAATGATCTCTCACTTACCAAACCTAGATGATGTAGGAGGTTGCTTAAACACCAAGCAGTGCAATTCTCACGCTCCCTAGTGGTTTGGAGTATCCCAGAATGAAGTGCAGAAGCTGGAACTAAACCTGTGCTTGGCACACACGCACTGAACAGCCACTCTGACAATTCTCACAGCCAGCCAGCCGCCGCAGGGCCGGGCAGCTCTGACCACAACTTACCAGACATCTGCAGTTTTCACTCAGAATGCACAGCTACGTACCCTTCAGCAGGGATAAAATGTCAAACTGAAGCATTGCAGGTATTCACAATCTATTTAATAGTGGGACACCAAAGAAGTACTACACATTTTTCTTGAGCACATCAGATTTTGATTTAAGCAGTTGCAACGGTTGCAGGAATTTCTCAGAAGTAGTCTTCCATAGTCTACAATCCAGAGTTTACTGTATCAGTCTTGTAAGTCCTATCACGACATATTTTTTGTGCTAACCGGTTTGATAGTCTGACCTTTAGCAAAGCATCCTTCCCTTTCCACCACCCCCTCCCCCCAAAAAGTTGACAAAATTCAGCCAAATAAAAAAAAAAATAAAATTACTGTACGACTTATTTTAGATTCTTTTGTTGACCTAAACACAACGGGAGCTACCAGTTATACACAGCTCATGAAGGAAGTTGCATTTTAATTCTAAAAGTCTTCATGCTGATACAATAAAGTATTTTATACAGCGATCAATTTTTAATGCTTTATTCATTGATTAAAAGAATATACATTTAACATAAACCATACAACATCAGTCATCAATCCAAACATTCAGCTGGTTTCCTTACATTTTCTGTCAGGAGGTTTTTTTTTTAATCTGATCACATTTATAAGATAAAATCTCACCACATCTGGCATATACACACACTGTGCCAGTGGATTCACTCTACTGATGTACATATAAAATCCGCATGGTATGTGCTCACTGGAGACAAAACAGCGCACACCTGTCAAAAGGTCATTTTAATATAAGATGGTAAAACCATTTGTAAAACACATATAAACTTTTTCCATAAATAGAATCATATCTGGACATCTGTTGCATAAATTGTGTTTTCCAAAGCTTACAATATAGCAGCCAGGTCTCAGCACTGCTGGGCACCCACGTTGGCCACTTACTTTATTATTGCAGACTGTCCTTTAAACATTAAATGCACAACATTCGTACCACTTAAAACTGGGGTCAGGTGGAAGTCTCACAGAGACCACGTCTGTACCGCGGTTGCCCTGAAACAGTTAAATCGGCTTTTAAAGCCTCTCAGATATAACAAGATTTTAAAACATACTTCATGGAATGTTCTTCATGCATCATAGCAGCTCATACCTGTGATAGAACAAGCTTTGTATTTGTTTCCTTTCCTTCCTTTACATTCACTATTCACAGTGAAACAGGTGCATGTTTGTTAAGAGTTCTGAGGTTGCTGACTGAGCCACAGCACAGCTGTGTACCACAGGTCGAAATTCGACCTTATATATTACAATCTAGCAGTATCTGGCTGGCCAAAAGTTGGCCTGCCCCTGCCAGCATGTGGGCACTTCTTCGTTTTTAATCTATTCTTTGGCAGCTGACACAAGCGCTGACAGAGAAAATCCAGTGACTTGGTTGCTAGGGATTTCACGACTAATGTTTGTTTGCAGGTGTATACCTCTGGACTGAAGTCTTCCCTCTTAGGTTTTTACCTCATCGGAGTGTGCACGCTCTCGTTTTGGTTTTTTTTGTGGTTTTTTTTTTTTTTTTCCTTCTAAACTTTGGCCCAAAGCTAACTTTTAAGGAAGATGGCAGAACATGAGAACAAATGAGGAGGAGTTTGCAAAGGATCCTACAGACTACAGCTCACGGAGGGAAGGTGAAAGCACAGGTACCTGAAAAGCCCATTTCACACCCACAAAAAGCTGCGAAGGGCCGCAAGCCACGCGTCCGGACCTGCACGGGGAACACAGCCAGGCCAGAGCCTCGCGAGGAACAGCCCTGGGGGCACTCCTCTTCCTCTAGGCCCATTAAGGAGCATGCGACCCGACTAAGCACACAGGGACAGTGCAGAAACCCACTGGGCTATGGAGACGGGTGTTAAAAAGAGTTGGCTCCTGAGCACAGAAACTCCGACATAACAGTAAAACTCATACAAAATGCAGTTACTCAGCAAAACGAAAGTTAGCCGGCAACCTCAGACAGCCTCTGGCTGTCTCTCTGCAAGGTTTGGTAACGAGCCCATTAACCGTGAAAACCCTGAACACTGCCACTTTCAGCTTCTAAACCAATATCCGACTACGTTCTTTGATCAAGAAGTAGAATACACATATATAATTCTATATAGCTAATACTGATTAAACACAGCACGAAAGGGGTTAATTCACGCTACTGAAAAAACATAATAGGACCCTACTTGCATATGTAACCACAGGAATTGTAAATAAGGAGCTAAATGCCTTCGCTGAAGCTCTGCATCTCTCTGTAGAAGTGACGGGTTGGCTCAGTGAAGACATTGAGCAGCTCTATGTCCATGACTGCGTGCCAAGGTCGACCCAATCCCAGAGACACTTGCTCAATGAGATTGTGTACTGGATCCACATCCTGATCAGCCAGTTCTCCTTGGTCGAAATCAATGCTCTCTTCTGTGACTTCCAGAACTTTCAGGTCAGAGCCACGAAGACGGGCAATTGCTATAAGATTATGAGCCCAAACTGTGTAACCTAGAAAACATAAAAGGGAAAAAGAAAAAAATGCTCTGTCATTTTGCTACATGGGATATTTTTAATGAAGCGCTTGATACCAAAGCATCTCAGCATCCTTCCCAAACTATCCACTCATCTTCCATCTGGCAGAATACCGCTACAGCATGTGGGGGTGTTTTTGGGTTAAAAATGTTAAAGCCCAATTGCCTACTCTGAACAAGGAGGTATCAAAAACATTTCAGGTAATTTGACCAAGCTATTCTAGATCCAATTTTTCACCATTTGTAGGGAAGTGGACTTCTTCACTCCAAGTTAAGCTACATCTCCAATTCCAAACCTCCTGTGATCTACTTCATCGTATAAATAAACAGAATCAAGTTAGTAATCCGATTATTTTAAGTGAACATATAAAAGAACTGTTTTAAAACTCTACTTGGGCTACAAAAAATTTAAAGTTTGCTTTTGTTGCATTAGACGTAGTCTTAAAAAAACCCACCACCAAACCAAACAATAACCAAAACAGATCAACCAAAAAATCCCAACACGCAAACTAGAAGCCTCTCCAGGAAATGGGTCACACCAATACTAAAAACAAAAAATAATTATTTTTTAAATCTACATAGACCTTGTTATGCTGTTTGAGATTAAACCTAATTGCAAAGCTTCCCTCTCTTCCCCTTAGTGTATAATGGCACCTCTCTTTAAAAACACCTACTCCCCAGCTACCTGTTAGCCCCCTGTACCCTGGCTAAGGCAAACGCTGAGCTCCTCCTCGTTCAGATGCAAACCACAGATCTGAGAACTCTGGGATTTTGGGGAGCTCTGCCAAGTCAGCCTTTCCATTGCAAAAGGGACAGCTCATTCCTGCCTTCACTGTCATTCTCACAGGTGCTAATTAGGCCTCTTGGTGAGATGCCCACTTAGATTCCAAGGAAAGCTGCAGTATGCACAGTATCTGAACTGGGAAAGTTAAGCTCCTGAGAAATAAAATCTAACTGTGGCTTGGTTTTGAATAACACAGTTACCATGCTCTCCATCATAATATAGAAAAATAAGGCAGCTAGCTAAAGAATGAAGAAAACTGATGTCAGAATAATAACAAAAGCAGAATTTTTCATTGTTTTCTTCTACTTTTTCCTACTGTTTGTCTCTAAGGTTCCCTGTGAGTACATTGCTCAGGGTAAGTTTTCAACAAAGAAGCCTGCACACAGCTGTATGGCTCACTTCTAGTCTATTCACCACTAGGAATGCATGACTTCCCACAATTTTCACCTGCTGATACTTCACCTCCAGCACAACTGTCCACAGATGAAGTTGCCACTAAAGGTGCAGGTCATTAAACCCAATGGAAAATTCCACCTGTACAATGACACTCCCCTATCAGGGGCTGAAGGAGCTCACAATACCTTTCAGTTATCTTGATTGTAAAAGAACTTGCTAAAGAAATCCTTAACAGAAAAGTGCAAGAATAATGGGAACAACATCTGCAGTTAAGTCCCCTGTACCATCCTTGTGGCTCAGGTATTTGGCTTTTCCTGAAACTGTACACAGTCAGATCCTCTATGCCCTGGAAAAACCATCTTATTCTCAACTTAATCTCATTTTAAATTAATTCTCATTTCAAAAGTTTTGCCTGAAGTTTCTCAGTAGCTTTCTGGCAGCCAAAAAGCCTCTGCCCAACTAAGTATTCAGAGGTAACAGGGAATGATCACTGCACCACAAGTATCACTGAACAACAAATTCACCATGGGAATGCCCTAATTTGTTTTTCCTCGCTAGTGAAAATTTCAGCTCGAGTTTTGCTCGCAGAGGAAAACTGAGACTCTCATCAGTAATACCATATGTTTACAACACAAACTCTTGAAGATGCACATGAAGTGTCCTTCTCTTGAGGAGAAAAAAAAAAAAAACAAACAACAAAAAGGCTTCATTTTCCATAGATGGGTTGTGCTTTTTATTTTTACAGTGCCAGAACATACCACTCTATCCTACTGTCCCCACGCCACCCCAAATGACCACACGCTCTTCATTCATTCTGCAGGAATGTATTTAATATCCTTTAATTGCCCTTCCTCTGCTCCTAAAGATGCTACCTTGGTGAAAGACGATATGACTTCCCACAAAAAGGCAGAAGAGAATTTTGAGGCACCCAAGAAAAATAATGTCCTTTGGACACTTTTTCCCCCTCTAATAAATTAGAGAACTTCCCTGTCGTAAGATGATAATAGAAGATGACATGTTGGTTGGGTTTTAATGAAAAAAAGTCTTCAAACATACATCCAAATGTTAAATAAACAGCTAAAATCCACATTTAGAATGGCATGGTTATGTGCCAGTATCCAAAATCTGTCAGACCTAGAAACTATAAAGGACAGACAGCAGCACCAATTCTGTCCTCATGATTTTTCTGTAAAAAACAATGAAAAACTTTTTCTAACAAATACAGCAGGACCTACTGACTTTAGCCAATGGAAATCTGAACCTACAGCCTTCACTGCTGAAGGTCTCTCCTGTTTGCATTGAAGGACTGGAGATTAGCTCCCCCAAGCAGTCTGAGGAAATTCATTCATTCTTATGCAACACCATCTAGAGTCATCACTTAACTCCTTCCTGCATCCGAAAACTCGATTTTGGTAAGCCAATTCCAGCACAAACAGGAAGAACTACTCTGCATCGTTTTTCAGTTCCAGGCACCTTCAGGTTTGCCAAACCACTGCAGCTTCTGGCAAGTACTGTACTGGTGACAGAGCTGAACACCAATGCACTTTTACTTTACTTGCAAGTATGTGGCAACTATTTGCAACTACTTGTAACTGGTTGCAACTATATGGTAAGTGGAATAGAACTAGCTCTGGTGTCACTAGTGAAACCAATGCACCCAGTGAGGCAAAACTACTCCATATTATTCAGCCTTCATCTGCTTGTAGTCTTACCAAACTGGTAGCAGACTTCCTCCCCTCAGCCCTGGGGCACTTAACTCACGTTATTTACAAACAGGAAGCACAATCGTCTAATCTTGCCAAGATATGAGTAAACCAGCGAATGTTTCCAGCGCTCGCATTCAGGTAAGCAGCCTCTCGGTGGCACCTGCTCAGCACAGACCACTTGCAGGAGACACCTGCTGAAATGCTCGGTTCTTGGTTATCCTCATTTCTGTGAGCAGCCCAATAAAATCCTGTGTGGGTTCTCAAGGGAAGTTAGCATGCTACAGGTACGTTTAGAACTCATACAATAAACACCTGCATATCTCCAAACACAAAAATCCAGTTTAAAGTACAACTGCACGTATTGCAACCGTGCAGGAGACTTTTGAACACTGCTCTGCTAAAACATATGATTAGAAAGGTTGAAGTGCTTTAAGTATTTTGCAGTCACGCACGACGCCCGTGCAATGTGTTACCTACCGTGAACAGCTAGGAGAGACAGTCTTGTGCACCTCCAGGCTAATAAGACAAGTGGATCCTCATTCCGGTTGTCGCTGAGATCTGGAAAGCCAGACATATCTATCACATCATTCATTAGTATAAAATGAGTGAGGAACTTGTCATACTGCCTGGATATGAGGTCAACAACAGCCCCTGAAACACAAGTGATGTAGCTGTCAAAGTGAATCCTCTCTAGGGGGATACTGGGCTTAAGAATCCTTAACATATCATCGCTCTTGACATCAAAAGCCATTATATAGACCCGAAGATTAGTGCTGTTGCGAGTCAGCGCCTTCCAATTCTCATCTTCTGGCATACAGTCCAATGACTTGTGCATTATGGAAACACTGTGGACCAGGAGAGACAGTCGATGCAAAGGCACGTGGTTGCTGTCAGCCAGGACTCTTGCCATTTCAGCTGTAAAATCACAGAAATCCAAAGCCAGCGAACGCAGGTTCACAAAGCGCTCCAATTCAACCGCAGTGATAAGAGTGGTGTTACCAGGGATGTGGTTGTCCAGTAAGCTCAGATGTTCCATGGTGTTGGCTATGGGGTTTGATAAGGAGGACAGTGATGTGGGAGTTACTATTTGCAGCATAAACCCACAAGACAGCCATTTCAATTGCCTGCTATTGCCTAATATCTCTTCAAACAGCTGCTGGATTCTGCAAGTAAACAAAACAGACAATAGTCCCATTAAACATGGCTTAGTCTTATCAATCGCATACCATTCTGGTTTTTTTTTTTTAATTGAGAACTATTATTCTTCTTCTTTCATTTATGGCCTTACTCTGCAGTGATGTACTATTGTTATGCTTGTTCTGAACTGCAAATGGCAAAGCCTGACCCTGCAGAACTCCCACAGCTTTTTAACCTTCAATGCACTTAAAAGGTTAAAGTCGTAAACTATCTTGAGAAAAATTATGTACTTTGTGTTTGAAAAACAGTGGCACACTATGAACCTTTATTTCATGTATTTTCCAGCACATATTTAACACCCTCCCACATACATTTTAAGGTTATGCAAATAAGAGAACCTGTAATGCTTCCAAAACACAGGTCTTGTTTTCAAAACAAGATTCTCTTATTTGCTGACCTCTCCAGAACTGCAAATACAATATGGGGGGGGGGGAAAAAAACAAAAAACTTCCAGTAAAAGGTTACAGTAACTTGACTTTGAGCATAAGTTAGAATCATCTGAAACTACCTGCTTGATCTTGCTCATTAAAGGCCAAAGAACAAACATGCAAGAAGATTCTTTAAGCAATTCTGAGTGTACTGCTAACTGGATTTTCAGGTGTCAACAGGTTCAAGTTTTACCAAAACAGCCTGGACATGGTAACATTTCAATCTCAGATTACCAGTGCCAGAATCTGCTACCACTGCCAGAATCCTCATGCTACTTATTATGCTCTGCAATCACTATGCATTTATTCCAATGCACCCCACCTCTCCTACTCCTTTGTGTTCTTTTTTAATGAAGGGATGTTTTCTGAATTATTTAATTCAATAAGATTTTTAATACTAAATTCAAATAACACAGTGAAACTCTACAAGCTTTCTCCAAATAAATATTTTTTCCAGCCTTCATCCCACAGCTTCTAACACTCAAAAGAGTACTTTTGCCCAAATAACAAGTGTTCTTTGAGCACATACATGCTGGGACATGTGCAGGTGACCATTTGATTTTAAACCCTCGTCAGTATTTAAGGGAAGCTTATGACAGTTTCATGAAATGTCAAGTTGTAAGATGTAAACACCTCCAGTCCAAAATCAGCAGAAATCTTTGTGCCTCGAATCAGGTAATGTATTGCACAGAACACTTTTCCCTTTACTGTTATGAACCTCTGTATACTTTATAGCTCTAAGCAAATCAATGTTACAAAGTTGTTATTCTCATCCACATATCTTTTATCAAGATAAATGTCCAGACAAAATAAAAGGCTTATTCAGCCCAGTATCCTGACTGATAGTAGAGAAACACTAATGCCTGAAGACGCATGACATAACAGGGAAAGTACCTAGGGATGTTTCTCAAACACCTTCTTAGTTTCCAAAAATTTGTAACTCAAACCCCCTGAACCAGAGGTGGCTTTCTGTATTTAGCAACCCTCAGGGACCTCACTTCTACAAATTTATCCAGGTTCCTCTTTGAGGCAAGTAAGCGTTTATCTACTGTATCATGCAGTAATAAAGATCTCTGCAGTGTGATTCCCCCCTCTTCTTGCTTGCTCTGAACCTGTCACCTACTGCCTTTGATGCCACATAATCCTTCTGTTGTAAGAAAGCTCAAAGATCCATCCTTATTCATCCTCTCCCTTGCCTGCATGTGCTTTCTTCCTTCTCCGAAAGAGGGTACTGGGTTTGCAAGGCCTGACTTCTCTTTGTAAGGGGGGAAGTTGGTGTGGTTACTGTATTTATCTATTGTACACACCTCAGAACAGTTCATAAGGTTTTTCCCTAAGGTTTTTCACAGTGCAGTCATCAGGTTTGAAGACTTTCGGTTCTTCCAGATCATATCTAAATATTTTTTTTAAAAATGAGGACTGGTAATTGCAACAACATTAATAAAGTTTTAAACAACAGGTCAACAGTGGCAGATAATGTAGTTTTGCTATTTTATTGCTAAATTCTTCTACAGTTCAGATGAGCTCTGCTTGATCCTGTCTATGTTTGCTTCATAACAATTCCTGCAAATGCTTAAATTGAAGGCACATTCTCTAACAATCCCCCAGAGAAAAAGGTTCTACCACAGGAAACTGATTTCTTCCAATGAACAAAGACATTTCCCTCCACCCTCTCACCACACACATCTAAAGGTGCCTGTAACGGTTGCAGCAACGTAGAATTTATTCTGTAATAGTCCAAGTAATCAATCTTCATAGTGTTTGTAGTATTTTACAGAACAATAGAAAAGATGACAAATTGAGATGCTCAGTAGAATATTACCATCTACATACCTCACTGCACTAAAAATCTGTTTAATTGTGCTTCTGATACAACTTAAACATCCAAGCTTAAAAGAGTACTGTTCTAGTGCTCACACAATTTAATGGAAAGAAATACAGTACACAACGCTGAAGCTATAAGGTGGGATTTCTCCCCTGTGGGAACTGCACTAAACTTTTTAAAAAATCCTGATTTAACGCTATCTACACATCGACTATTTAGTGCAAGCACCAAAGTATTTATGCAAGTATTTAGATTTATGGTGACAGTCTACCAACCTGTAGGTCCTAAGAAAACTTTCCAACTACATTCCCCAAGTTCTTTGCCAATTTAATAAAAAGAGATCAGATGTGTCAATATAGTCATAGAATCATTTAGGTTGGAAAAGACCTGTAAGATCAGTGATCACTTTTAGGTTGTTTTTATTGACCAATTTATATAAGGCTGGACAGGGAGAACAATAAAAACCACATGCCATTAGTTTTATCATATTTCAAATACCCTAACAGGGGGTTTTCCTCCCCTGGAAATTCTTATGTGCACTCTTTTTCATAAACAGACTGCATCTAACTGGAGTTTGCAAAAATAGTTTGAACTGTGTTTTAGAAATTCATACACATTAAGCAAATTTTTGGGAATCAAACCTTACTTTATTACCATATTAACTTCAACTGCCTGACATGTAGCACAACACTTATCCTAACTCGCACAGTTACCTTGATGCTCATTTATAACACTGAAGTTGAAGCTGGGTTTAGTAAATGTAACATAAAATGTAAGCAGAGCTCAGCACAAGCAAGAAAGCAACTTAGCTTAGTGATGCCTCAAGAACTGTATTTAACCAGTCCCCTTTGCTCCCTGCAAGCAGCAATTACAGGATGCTCACCATCAACCCAAAACCTACAAATGATCCCGTTGGAGCAAACTATTAAAAAAGTTAAAAATTCAAATTAGTTTCACAATGAATGCCCCAAACAGCACTTTCAGCCAGACCAAAGCCTGACTAGACAGGCTGAGTTACTGTTTAAGCCCAAAAGAACAGGCCTGACCAGTATCGAAGCACATCAGTGGCCATGCACAGGAAACAAATGTAGTACTAAGGTCCACATGGAGCCCATTTGTTTAGTAAAAAAATATCAATCAAAATGCTTGATTTAATAACAGAGGCTAAACTGGCTCTTTCGGAAACCTGATCTGAACCACACAGATCAGTCATGGGAAGTAGATTTCAGAAAGCCAAAATTTTGAACCACTGCCCTTTGTTCAACTCCAGAAATGCAATGTTTATGCTGAGCTTCTCAACAGCAACAAACTAAGTTGTAAAGAGAGTTTTAGAAAGGAGCCATGGACACATATGCTATGCAGAAAAAGAACAAGCATGACAAACCCCTGCTGATCAGTGCAAAAGTACATTTTTGCAAACATGATCCAAAGCCTCCTCTCCCTCAGAACAATCCTTATTCTTAACCTGGGGGAGCATCCTAATGGTTCTGTGCTAGCTGAGATTTCACCCACAGTCTGTTACACCCAGCTCAATGCCACAGACTTCGTGAAATGTCACATTCTCTCCCCTGACTACTTTAATTGCAGGAAGTTCCTGAAACAGCTAGTAAGGTACAGGAGCCATACAGGTGCCAAAAAATCTCAACATCACTAACAGTCTCCAAAGATTGCTCAGTATCTTTGTTAGCTACTGGTATCCATGTTTTGCAGCTTAACTGATGGAAAGCCCAAGTGCAAAAGGCAGCACTAAGGAGCCATAAAGATTTCCTTCCTGAAGTAAACTTGCTGCTAAGTGCTGATGAACTTGAAAATATTGAATAAAACACTGCTACCTTTCTTTTAATTTAGAAAAGGACTAGCAGGTCCCAAATATATTGTTTTATTCTAGAAAATAAAAATAAAATAAATCAACCAACCAAAAGAGATGTAGCATTTATTTGCCCATTCCAAAATGTGCAAATGTCAATATTCACCTAAAAGACTAACTACAAATTAGATACGAGTTTTGAATGGTTAATTGCTCTGAAATGTGCATACTTATTTTTTGCTATTTGTCTGAAGAATCATGTACTCGGCTGAGCAAATATCTGCTTAGATGGCTCTGAAGAAAACCCCTTGTCAAAGACTTAATTACATATTTATGTTTTCACAGCAAAGGGTATGAGTTAAAAAACAAAAAGGAGCTTTTACTGAATCAGCCTTTTACCTGCACACAGCATTACAGAACATATGTTAAATGCAATCCCAAATTGCTTCAAGTTCTGCATTCAAAGCGTAAAGGACAACAAAGACACAGTATGTGACAGCTGTATATGCACTGCTTCGCACATTTAAGTCGGGCTCAAACAGTTTTGATGCTTGTGTTCACATGCATGTATTGATCTGACAATAGACCTACACTAGTTATAAAACCACTCAAAAAAAAAAAAAAGTAAATATCTAGAGTGGCTGTAGTTACTCCATTTTCCAAGCTACTGGGAGAACAATGTTTAAAGTTAGACAAATTAACATGGTGATATGCAGGTTTTTATCTATATAGAAAGTTTTAGCAGAAAGAACTGCCAAAATAGTTAACTTAGCATCATTCCCTCTGTGGTAATTTATCCAGAAGTCAGTAGCTTTTTATATTGTATTTAACTTTCTCCAAAGAAGAACTAGCTATTCTGATTATAAGCTTTCAAGGACTGTAATATACTGTAATTAAGCCAAGTTAAAATACACCTCTGAACCAGACAAGCACATTGTGAGCCATTATATTCCAGGAACTCTGCAAATAGATAAACTAGCTTTGAGATGGAATTGAAAATAAGTTGTTTCTGTTCATATTTTTTTCAAGTTTACTTGCTACACGTCCTCAACTCTTGTGAAATACAATGGATTACTTCTTTACCATTTTTTTTTTTTCCACATACAGCAACAGTAGAGGTGCTGGTAGCAATCCCACAACCCTCCTCCCCTTTCGTGTAATTAACACAGTATTGTTTCTAGAACACAATGAAGAGATGAAAGAAAAGATTTTCATCCTGCTGAGAAGGGGGTAGGGAGAAGCACCATAAAACCAGACTACTTGAAGAAAACAGCAGG